AGTGGGACTCATGCTTTGGTGGAATGCTCATGGAACATGCGGTTTCCAAAATGCTGTGACTCACACTATTTTCTTCAAGAGGTGGGTTTAGGGGTCTTTGACCCGGAATCCGGCCATGGGTCTTGTGACGGTCATCGTCTACCCGGAACCCTTTTTTCTTTGGGACCACCCTGAATCATGTTGGAGAAGAGATCTGCACGACTTGGAATACTCAAACCCCAGGCCTAGTGAAATATGCAAGAGTGTATCAAGTGGCCGAGAATCCTACTCCATCAGCATCAACTGTAACTGGCGGGCAGGAGTGACCTACAAAATGAGTTCTGACAGAGTGTCAACCATGTGCAGTTCAGTAGAGAAAGCCCTCAAATTGACACCGGATTTTGCTGCCCAAGAGTGTCACCTTCCAAATTGTTACCTATCAGAGTATCATGTCATTTGGAAGGTGACACCGAAATTCATGGAAATTCTACAGTAACACTGGTCGGAATTGCTTGCCTTGTCGGCCGATGGCCATATACTCTCTGGGGTCCAAAAAGGACTTGAAGTCATCAGCCAAGCAATCGCACACCATCCGTGGGGAGGAGAAGGCCCAATCGAATGGCATGGCAGACCTCATCAGCCCAGTTGGACAGAAAGTCCAAAGCGGTGAGTAAAACATTAGGTCGGTTGATTTCTAGAGAACCACTTCCACGATCTTCGAGTTCCCACCAAGGAAGTAGCAACAAATCCACCCCAGCAACGTGTGCGATCACAATTGCTTTTACGGTTTGTCGAATATCCACAGGACACCATGTCCATGACCGGCAGTTTTCGTCGAGCTGTCCATATGCAAGGCAATTACAGTTGAACAAAGTGGAAGCGGGTGTAACCCAATTGAATTGATGTTGATTACAAATCCCCGCACCACCCAAGAAACAGCCAAATGCATGTCAAATAAATATACATCTAAATGCCACCAGTAGCGGAAAAGGACATTCCCATGATTCAGGCGAGTGGTATCTTCACACCTGCTGGACAATATTCTGCACGTCTATGTAGTAATCCACAACAGGTTTCATCTTCCACACTGATCATATGTTGTTAACTCCTTGAAGGTTCTGCTACCGTGTTTGGACGTCTCTGATGACGGGGCACCGCCCTTATCATCAAATTGATGTTTGCCTTAAAGCCGTTGAGCTTCCACAAGCTTGCACAGGGCTTCAACAAGCTTTTCGTACACCCGCCGCCAAACTTTCCTTGTACTTTGATGCCTTTTTGACTTCCAGTTGGCGTCCTACTAGTAGACTCCAAACTTCGCTTCAAGAGCACCCTGAAACCAAGATTTTCCAGAATTGTGCTTGCCTCTCCAGAACTATTGAACCGCATTGTCCCCTTTTTCCAGAAATCTTCCCTAACCCGTTTGGCCCCCGTGTCTAAACAATCACCAGGTGGTGCTTGCTAAGATATAGGCCAAAGGAAAAGGGATTGCAAATCGGGGAATAGACTTCCGACCTGGCAAATGGAAGAACAACAAATACTTGAGACGATTTTGCGTTGATCCCGCCAAAAATGTTTCCCTCCAGAAACACTCTTGATCTATGCGACCAGAAGTCTGCGTTACAGCTTTTCTTCTTTTCTGCGGTCTTAAAAAATGAAAAACCGATCGCCTAGCTCGGAACTTGGATGCACAGCCACGAAAAACAAGTCCAAATATATATGTTGACTGTGGACTGTGGTGGACGGCCAATCAATCGGCTGTGCAAAAGAGCAAACGTACCATGACAACAAATCGCTTGCATTCAGGTGGCAGGCCTCAATTGTTTCACAGCTCTTACTGACAGACTTCATGCGGAACCAAAGAATAGAATTGGAGCTGAGTAGTCGGGGAGAAATCCAGGGCAAAATGCCAAGAATCCTCAACATGTTCAGTAGGCTCTTGGCTTGGTTCAGACTGATTTGCTACCTAGGTTGTACCTATCTTCCTGTCTTGGACACTGGAGGATCCCGTTCCGCTGGTGTTTCGTGGCTGTTAGCCTGTCTGACCACGCGATCCGAGTCCGAGACCCAAGGGCTGCAGATTACATCATCTCCCTTGTGTTGAAAGGGATAGAGTGGATAGAGGCTGCAGCATCGCCCCCACCAGTCATCATTCAACGGTCTGCCCAAACAGCGGACTCCAAAAAGGTCTATCCGAACGAAGAAGATTGGATCATCAGTCCGCTCTTCTTCGGACCCATGTGGACCATCCCAGCGAACCTCACACTGTGACAGGTGAGGAGTGCTCCGCCACCTGATGGCCTGCATTAACCTTCAAAGTCAATGTCGATCGCATGATCCCGCTACAAGAAAGGACAAGAACATCTGGAGATGTCTGATTTGTCCGGAAAATCCACAGACTCCCCAAGCCATAAAATTAAATCACTTTGTAATGGCAAGCCCTGAGAAGATCGGATCGTTGGCCCGCTCTTTCCATGGGCGTTTTATCAAACTTCGACATCGATGGTATGATCTTTCCGGCAAAGAGGACAAGCAAGTCTTGCGGTGTTTGATACTCCGAAGTATCCACTGGCTCCCCAAGTGACCAAGCACTCTTCGTGATAGCAATGCTGACATGGTAGCTGCCTCACATGCTCATTACCTTGGAGTTCCTCCAAGCAAATTGCACAGGTCCGTTCTGGGCTTGGACAATCCGCCACATCAACCAGGTCAATCTGCTTCTCAATGGACCTTGTGAACTTGTTTTTGGCCCAGGGGATGCTCATGTACTTCCTAAGCTCTAGGGATCTGGCAGCGATTCCGCCCCTTTTTGAGGCACCCAAACATACGTATGCATACATCTTATACTGTGTATACAATGTTAAAAGGGTGGGGCTGTCACAGCCTAACGTTGGGATTCTTGCTGCTTGTCGGTTTGCAGGCACCCTTTCTGACCTGTATAAAAGGGTGCGTTGCAAAAGCAAGTTCATCCCCATGCATTGAAGAAACCCTTACTTGTTTTGACTGCTATTCGTGTTTGTTGTCCAAACAAAAGTGCTCCGAAGTTTGTGCATTTCTTGACATATGTTTGCTCATGTCAGCTTCTGCACCTGCAAGTGTGCACCATCAAGTCTGCACCATCAATGTCAATCGCAAACCTGGGATGTTACCAGAAGACCCGACTCGTTTTGGAGGGGTCCCGCCTCTTCACAAGCTCTTTGATGGTTTTGATGTCAGGCCTCGGAAAGTGCATCCTTTGGCCTGAAAATCCAGCAATGCCCATAAGCGCAATCGCCAGAAGGACAAGAACCCCAAACAGGATGAAGACCACGCCCTTCCACACATCGACATCGATCATGGCTACCTCTATGCGCCTGTCTGGCTCATGTGTGCCTTCAGTGTGCCCACGCACATGACCATGCTGAGACCAACTCAATTGGAATGAAGAGTCCGGTGTGTGGATGTGTGCTCTCTGTAAACTCTTGTGACCTGTCGCCAGCATGAGTCGTGTGGGTGCTCCGGCCAAACTTGAACCGGTCAAATGCGAAAACATTTGGATGTCTCAATCGGCCCTCATGGAATGCACGGAACCAATAGAATGATTAAAAGTTTCCTCAAGAGAAATGAGCATTCCTCCTAAAAAGTGCTCAAATCAACCCCCATGAAGTCCTAAAGCGGTCATGGACCTGAGCTTGTGCAAGGATCTTGACCTACACCCCCAGGAGAAACATCTACAAGGGGAAAAACACAGGACAAACGTTCCAACACAACGTGTCCATTCCAACCGTGCCGCCCTCACATGGAAAAGAGATGCGCAGGTGCTGCAGGAACAGCGCAACAGACATACAAGTTACAAGGGTGCATCCAAGGGTCTTTCTCCAAGATTTCTTTTGCAACCACACAGCTGCAAAGCAGTTTGATCCCAGAGATATGGCCCGGACAAAGGGAACATCTTCCATTGCCAGAAGACTTGCGAAAGTGAGGCGGCTTATGAAGCTCTTGAACTACTTGGCTGTGTTCCCAAACCATCGAGTTATGCGGCTTGATAGTGGTCCCAAAGCGCATGTCAGGTGGTTGATCAAAATTCCATCTTGCTGGAAGGCCATTCTTCGCGAAAAAAATTAACATTCGCGAATCTTTCGCGAACTCCATGTTTAACTTTCGCGGGGAGCATGTCCTCTAAAAATCGTCGTGGTTTAGTGGTTCTACATACCAGCCTAAGCACTTCCATCAAGCACCATTTTGGAGCTGCAGACGAGGTTGAGGTGTTACAAGGCAGATTGGCAAGAACTCTCAATCACCACCATTGGATGAATCAGCAGAACTGGTGGAGGATGAGCTGGAAGAGCTATCAACGTTTGTTGCCCTCATCTTGCTAGGTCTGTCGCTGCTTGGCTTGGGCAGGGGTCCACAAAACAAACCTTCACATTCGCCTATGCTTTCGCGGAACCCTCGCGAATCTTTCGCCAAAACATGTCGCGTCGTTGGTGGGTTTCTAGGCGCGCAGCGTAACAACCAATGGCAGCAGCAGGAGGAGGAGTAGTACGCAGTGGTAGTGGTAGTGGTAGTGGCAGTGGCAGTGGCAGCAGCAGCAGCAGCAGCAGCAGCAGCAGGTGTTGTTGTTGTTGTTGTTGGTAGAGACAAAGACAAAGGCCCTGGTATGATGCAGATGGCCACAGGAAGTGAGAAACATGAACGACCCGTTGGGTGGTGGTTGTTTGTGGTAAAAAGGTAAGGAAGGTATCACACTCAATAGACTTATCCACCTGTTCGATTTCAAGAAACATAAAGCATGATCATGGGAAGTGCAACATATTGTACTGGGGTACCACTGCCCACCGCGTTAGACTCTTGAAATAATAAGCGGCAAAGCGCATGATACGGTAAGAAAGGTGGTGGGCTTGGTTCGGTGTCAAGCAGCGAGGTAGTGTAGACAAGTTGTGGTTGCCAAAATCCCTCAGATTTCGAAAAAAGATTACCTGAAGCGTCTTGCAGAAGCCGGATTCAATTCAGACATACGGGCAGTCATGCATACAGATGCAACCCCAACCTTTGTGGGAACAGGACATTTGGGAATAGTAGATCACCATTCTGTAAATCACAGTGCCAATGAGTTTGTGCGTTCCGTCGAGGTGCTTGCCAATGTTGAGACCCGCAAAATGCGCCCCGGCTCTTGTTCGACCAACATGATTGACAGAGAGTGGAGGGCCTTGAAGAACATGTTGCCAGAGCAATTGTCAGCAAAGTCCGAAGCCAAACGAGACCAAGCCTCCGCGTGTGTCCACTCTTGCCAGTGGCGTCGCATGACTGCTGGGCTAGATCAATGGAAGGAGTTTTGCCAAGCAGCGAGTCTCAGATTGACAAGGCTGAGGAGTCCGAAGCCAAACGAACCAGGTTGCTTGCGGATGACAAAACCATGCCCAAAACACCAAATGGAGTGACGACCCGTATGGCTACTTGCAACATCACAGGCGCGCTGAACCAACCATTCTCCATTTGTGCAAAAAGTATGACGCAGTGAAGAAACTTCCAAGAGCTGGTGTCCGCCTCACTGTGCACAGCCGGTATGACACAAATATGTGCCCGCCAGATTGGCTTGCGGTGGTGGCGAAAGACCAGGGTGAAGCGAATGTGAACCCATTGGATTTCCATCTTTTCAATTGGACTGGAATGGGCCTTGAAGGCTACCACTATGATGCGTTGATCCCGAAGACTGCAGCTTGAATGTGTGGAAAAATATGATCCAAGCTTGGCTGCCTGAAGGGAGAGGATGATGTGACTTAACGTTTTGTTCGGTTGATTGATGTTCATCCCCTCCTAGAAGAGGCCTTTACAGACGACCCGTTGGTAGTTGTGTTGGCTGAGGGGGGGGTCTGGATCAACAAGGGGTCGTGTGTAAAGGTCTCTTGAATTAAGTTGAGAATGAGCATGGGCACGGGGCGGCAGTAATAGTCGCTTCCTTGTCCTTGTTGTTGTTGTTGTTGTTGCTGTTGTTGTTGTTGTTGTAGCTCACACAGCACTGTTGCAAATCACTGATGATGGTATCGCCTCTTCATGTATACAATATATAGTATAATAGACTCTTTCGCAAATCTTTCGCCAGAAAAAAAGTAACTTTCGGGAACTAGTAGATGTAGTGGCTCGTGGTTGGTGAGGGTCTTGCCGCAAATTGACGTTGTGGAAAAGCAAAAACACTTTGATCCAAAAAGGATCCAGATCTGACGAGCAGTCTTGGTTCAAGAACACATATCGGCCAGTCCTGATTCCCTCCAGGGCTAAGGACGATTCACACCATGGACAGGCGAAGAGAAGGTTATCTGTAAGACTTGTGGCGGTGGGAGATCGTGGTCATAGAGGACATGAGGAAGGTGCAAGCCATAGTGGGAGCACCTCCACGAGACTGCTGAGGTGACCTGACCATGTGGTGAAGGAGTGGCTAAGGAGGAGCATGAAGGTGTAACATGCTCTGAAACGGCAGGGCATCGTGGCCATGGTCGGGGGACATTAGCTCCTCTACTATATTGAGGCCTCGTCACTATGGGAGACAGTTTGCTCAGAGATCAGTCAATGGTACATGGGGATAGCCAAGCGGCAATCGCTATCATTCGCGGGCTAGTAGGTTTGCAAACGATCGCATGTCTGACGGGAAAAAGTTGATGGGGACCTGGAAAATCTTCCACCTGCAGGGATTCCAGTTGACCAAACAGCACGGTGAAAGCTTTCAAGACCTTAACCAGCATGAAGATGCGATTGGGAACGAGGCCACCCATCAGAGGTGGGCTAGAGGCTAGAGCAAGTGGCAAAATTGTATCAACAAGTGGCCCTGCACTTAGTTAGGGTGGCTTGAGGGGCAGGATCAAGGGCTCAACCTCACCAGATCAGTCAAACAGCTCGGGAAGAATTTGAGAACTCCGGAAACGCAGATGAGCTGGAGAGGAAGGCTCAATGGAGCCAGCAGGGTACATGCCCCAGGTGGTAAGGACCACGAAGCATTGAATCACACCACCGCTCTTAAAGCTCTTAGCTGGAAACCCCTTTTGGAGCGAGAAGGCGCCAACAGACCAACTCCAGGCTGTGCATTGCGTGCCTTGCGGCCTAAGCCAGCAATGACCAGAAAAAGTCCAAATCACAACAAACAGGGGCATCATCACCTTCATCGGAGGCAAGGAAGGGAGAGGGTGAAACACCCACTGCTAGCCAAACGTCGGGGCAGGCACCAATGATGGAGGCTGGCGAAGGCCAAGGCCATGCCCAACGGACCGCCTGGACCACTATGGGGTGGATATGAAGCCCCTTCAAACAAAGCTCACGTGCCCCGTCCACCAAGACTGCGATCTAGCAGTCTATTTGGTGAAACAACAATGTCTATGACAAAATCAGTTGCACCATCAGGCTGGGCTTCCTATCCTGGCTGATCAGGAAACATGGCCCGGCATGACAACGTCTTTACCCAGAGCATCGATCAACACCTGCGGAAGCATAAAAGCGCAGAACACGCCCTGATCCAAAAAGGATCTAAAGATCTGACAAACACGTTTGGCTCAAGAATAAATGTCTTGCAGCACCATGGGCGTATATAAAGCTTTAACTCCTAAGAAGGTGGATAAAGGAGACCCGACCTGTTCGTCTGGCTTCTTTCCCTCAATTGCCTTCCGGCTCGGATCTAACACCAACTTTAGGCCACCGTCCTATTGGTTCTTGGTCGGTCCCAGATTGTATGTGCTTGAGGATCCCATACATGTTGCAACTCCAGTGCAACCAACAAGCTTGCTTGTCCAGAATTTCTCATAAAACTGTTCAATTGTCCCACAACATGCTAGTTGTTGCATGTTCTCGCTGCTGTTTACAACCAAAAGCTGTGCCTCCACATCAATCTAGCCAAAAACGTTTGAGCCAAAACGCTTCAATGTACGACCAGTACGGCATACGACACGACGCTGGAGGGTTGGACCTACGGCCAAAGAAGGTTTAGCCAAATATATGATCACTTGAGATTGATAGAGCATCGGTTCGTCCAAAGTAGCAAGTATATGAAGTGCTTTCCCAGTAGACAGAAACTATGTCCAGTACAAGTTTGAACTGACTTTTGCTATTCAAGCAATTTGGGGATCACTATAAACTGGGTCCAGGGCTACCAACAGCAGCATTTGATTGGGCAAAGACCCTGTATGCCTGTGCCAAAGCTCAAATCTTCTTTGCATCTCCTGCTTGCCGTCTACTATCACATCTTGAAGTTCGTAGATCGGCATGGCGATGGCACCTCAGGAAGGGCACTGATGCCGGGGTGGTTCTTGTTTTTCCAGGTGATTTCAACCTAGGCCTCCCGAATGGAGGAAAGAACAGAAGCACCGTTTCGCTCTGGTGGACGCACCCAGGTGTTTCCAGGCTCCATCATGTTTCCAGGTGGACCACCCTGTCACGTGGTCGCTCCGTTCACATCTACCCGGACCCCTCCACTGCTCCGTTCCGTCGACCAAGTGACTGTTCTTCGTCCCATTGGGCCCATGGAGCGGGGCAAGACTGGTCAAACACCTGTTGATTGAAGTGAAAAGTCTTGATTGAAGTTGACACCGTTTTTTTCAGCGAAAAAGTAAAAATAACACATTTAAAGACAGACTTGATATATGAAGATCAAAGTTTTAAGATGCCATGTCTTGAAGAACATGGTCTCAAAGACCTTTTGGGTCGCCCGGCAAAGATCCAAGGTCCAACTGCTCTAGAAGAAAGGCATGTTGTTCCAACTGCTGCGTTCGCTGTGTTGCTTTCTCAGCCAAATGGCCACAGACTCTGACGAGGCAACTCGTGCGGCTTTTCGGCCTTTCGAGTCAACACTGAGAGCACAAACTGCGAGAGTGCGACACGGTGCGATAGTGCGACACGGGGTGAAGAATCGGATAGCTCGTTCCCCAAAAAAAGCACCAGAAAAGAGATTGACAGAGACTCGACCATGTGACTTTTTGCAAACAGCATCGGAAGCGTCGAATCTACAAGTGTGACTGAAGGAAGACCAAAACAAGAAAATCGGCGCATCCTTAAATTCAGCGCTCCCACTTCCTTTGCACCCATTTGGTGCCATCTGGCCAAAGGATTCCATCTTTGTCCCATTTGCCGACCGTTTCTCGAGCTTCGTTGATGCGCTTTCGATCCACCACATCCCTCCCAGTCTCTTCAACAACAATCTCATTGGCATCTTTGTTGGCCAACTTCACCTTCAAACTCCAATCATAATATGTCACATCTCTTCGCTTTCGGCAGTTAAATTGTCCTTCATCACCGGCCCCACTTTTGTCATATCCATCGATCTTCCCCTTGGTGCCGTCAAAGGCAATGACCACATTGCGTTCACAGGCTGGATGCTTGGGATCATCATAGGAACCAAACCACTTGGAAGCTCTACCGCCCACCTTCGCAGGAACACCTTCTTGGGCCACTGCCGGCACTGCCAAGGAACTGAGGGCAGCTGTCACAGCGAGCCGACGACCCTGACTAGCTGAGAGGAAGTTTGGCAAGAGTTCCAAGTGCCATACAAAGCACGCAGCAGTGAGCAGGAGCGCACGAGATCTGGAGCTGCAAGCTTTGGGCATTGCGAGAACAACAACCAAACTACTCCAGAAAAGCTTATTGAGTTTGACCGATTGACCAATGGAGTTGCTGCGCCTTTTTACAATTGAACTTCCTCTATTTGAAAGGGGGCCTGCGGGAGAAGCACGCCAAGCAAATTGTTTCACAACAGAATCTTCACAATGCAAGGTGATGCTGCAGAGTTGCGCTGGAGGATATTCTCAATATGTCTGCAATTTGCGCATCGGGCTCCACTTGTATATACATATTATATATATATATATTGAAAATTATCAAACCTCTCGAAGAACCTGTTCACTCGGATGCTTTTTCAGACTGCGCTCTGGTTCAGCAGCTGCTCTGACGGATGCCCACTCATGGTCTTCTGCAGCAACACCGCTGCAACGGCAGCAAGGCACGCCAACCAAAGCCTTGCACCTCAGAACCAAGAACCAAACAATCTTTAGCTGCTTTGTGAGACCCCCAACGAGTGAAACATCACCAAAACACATTGTTTTTTTGGTGCCACGAAACAAATCCTTGTGACAAGTAGAAAGAGGCACCTGGCAGTTCAAAGCTCCAAAGCCTCTAACCCCCGCTCCTGCCTTTGTGCAAGGCGAAGTGCTTCATGTATTTCTGGCAACAGGAAGCTTCCTCCGTGACACGGGTTCTGGTCATCTACCGCAACACAGAAGCAAGTGGGAAACATGTTGATAGTTCGTGAGGAGTTGCAGCAAGGCAAACAGCAACTTGATAGTGACTGGTTGTGGTTTGGATCTGGGACTCCTGGGTCCAAAATTTTGTAGATTTGAACAAACCGTTTCAAGCCCACATGCCTGGATCGGTCGAAACCCCAATTGGTTCCACATGAAAGTTTCAGAAATGGACACCTCAAGGTCTAAGCCATGTTCTCCTAACCAATGAAAAGGAGTCTAACAGTCTAACCATTGCGCCGTTCCGAACGGCGCCACTTCCCACCTTGGACGCTCCCGGAGCTGGTGCCAGGCGTTGCAAGTGCCGCTCCATCTGCGGAAATGGCGGACGTCTCGGCCGGGGCAGGGCGACCCAACAAAGGTTAGAGAAGGAAAAGCCATGAAGCTATGCCATGCTCTACCCACCAAGCGTGGAAATTGAGCTCAACGTACCTGTACCTTGGTGCCCTTCAATTCCCGGGCTTGCCATCTAGCCAAAACAAGCAAGCTAGACTGTACCAAACTGTGGCTTCTTTGGGGTCGCATCCAAAAAAGGACCTGAACCTTTACCATCGATGTCTGAATCCAAATAGTGACTTCGAGGATTCATGGGCCGACGTTGCCGACAATCTTCGTCGGGGAGATCTGCAAGCTTTAGCGATTTTGCTGCGCAAGGCGTGTGATTTCAGCTGTGCTGCTTGAAGATGTCAGCAACAAACCACGGGAGCACATCTGCTAAACAACAACAAGACTGGACTTTGTTTCCGAGCCACTCATCTACTAGTGTCATCTGTGCATTTTTGTCTGTGCCCATCCACAGCCAGAGGCGACCAGCCAAAGGCCTCGCCTCACCCTCTTGCGCTCCGGTTTGGCTCAGCAAACCCAGCGACTCCTCTCGGGGTGCTCTCGGAGTGTCCAGAACAGGCTCATGGACCCTCATCAGATCTCATGGGAGGAGCGAGAATCACCTCACAGGTTCGCTATAAAATCCAACCCCTTCCAATTCAATTCTATCCAGGTAAGCACAACCAGCAAGAAGGAAGGAGAAGTTCGAAAGAAAATACAATTTAGCTAGCAAGCATCGAACATCGAGCCTGCATTCTATGCAGGAACAAAGTAAAGTGGTTGACCGCTTGACCGTTTTATTGGCTCTTACTGATATAATTTCCTGGAGGTATGATTCAGCAGTAATTGCTAGTATTTCCAACCATTACATGATGTACATGTGTTCAGACTCCTGAACCCCCACAGGGTTCTGTGCTTTCTGCTGCACCAGGGCCAGACTCTGCAAAGCCTCGCTGGATTTAAAAAAAAAAAACAACAAAAACATAACTATCCTGAAGCATGAAGGACTCTTATCAAGTTGCAAAGAGAATTATATATGTCTACCAAAACCAGAAATGCCCACTTCGTGCAGAATCACTTTTGAACCCTTTTGGTCCAATGATTTTACACTTGCCATCAATTGCCTCTTGCTCTGACTCTCCATATTCTATATATATATATATATCGTCGATATCTGATCTCTTCTTGGGAAGCATTTTCCTCGAGATCCACGACGAACGACACACGGTGCCTCTTGTTGAAGCTGAATGCATCGCTGCTGAAATGGACAAGGAGCTTTGTCCTCACAGAATCATGCTCACACACGTTAGGTCGTGACGTGACACAGCTCTGTGAAGGCTCCTCGCCTCAATCTCCAACGCAGCATTCTCAGGGGTGTCTTTGCCTCCTAGAGAAGAAAGGAGTGCAAGAACTTCTTGCCCTTCTTGCCAGGTACAGTTCTGTTGTTCTGTTGTCTGCAGCGGCTTGGCTCCAACAAGACATGTTCAGAGAATCTACAGTGTACATTCTTCATCGGCTTTGTCCTCTACCAAATTCGAGCTTTGAGCAGTTGGAGTTACCTCCATCATTCACCCCTCACTGCAGTGTATAGCCCAAGCGACCCTGGTTCTAGGGCCCCACCCTCTGGTTTCGCCTGAGAGATTCCACTTGAGCCTTAAGGCTTCTTCCGCTTCGTCCAGCTTCCCTGCCTGGCAAGCGAGGGAGTTCACTGCTCCACGCATAGGAGTTCGCTGGTCCTTTCGTGAGGATCGTTGTCAACCTGAGGAAAACTGAAAGAGGATAGAGGCATATAGACTCAGATAGAGGCCTATCAACCTCTCGGACGCAGAGATCCACAGGTGTTTCCAACTACTAATGCAGCGACTCCGTTTACGAGCAAATGGACATGTGCCAAACATGTGCCTTGGCCGCGTGGAAGGCCCATTTGCCACACAGCTCCGCCCAATCCAGCGCAAGGCCACCCTAAGCGTGAATCCGATTGTCCACGACTCAGACTGACCTCTTCTAGTTGTAATAGTCTACGAAGCACAGGTCAATTTCTGTTGCTTGGAAGAGGAGTGGCTCCGTCCATCCAGTTCTCACCAGGAGGTCTTGACATATCTTGACCAATCTGGTAGGAGAGAGGAGGTGACATTCCAAATCTAGCTAACTTCAGACACTGGGCGTCCTTCCAAAACAGGAGGACTCTCCCACCATCTCCCACGGACAAAAGGGAAAAATATCAACCAGCTTGAAGGAGCCTACTTTTGACAAGGCACGGCTTTGGGCAGTAGGTACTTGGAGGCTTCAATCACCTCCTTCGTTTTCGCGCGCGGTTCGGTTCCCACAGACCGGCGCGATCCATTCGGCCCAAACCCACAGTCGCACACGCCAACGGGCGGAATATGGTGGGTGGAAACATCCAAAAATGTGTCATGATCTGTTTGATGATCTGTTTCAGGTGAAGATCACTTGAATATGGTGCTGAAACATCTGAAACATCTGAAAGGGTGATCTTGTATCAGATGTTCTTTGAATATGTCCCCCTTCACGCAAGCGATCATGCGAATCCCTGGCGTATCTTGGTGCCGAATCACCACCATGCCAGCAGTCTGTCTGTGAAGAACTACTTCAAAGGGATCGGTAAGACGAAAGGATTTATCACAGGGTTTTGCAGGTAAAACAGCACAAAGATCGACAACTAGGTGACAACTGACCACCCACAGCGAAGCAGACTGGGACCTGAGAAAACCAATCCCACCGCCCAATCCAGCGGTTTGAGAGTTAGTGGCACCCACTCGACCAAAGGATGGATGTTGAAATGGGTCACTCACCCAACTTGCCAAGAAGATGGAAACACATGAAATGCTGGATGGGAACTTCACATGCCTTTTCTTTCCCAGAGGTTCGAAAAGACCTGGTTCCAAGAGAAGAGAAGAGAAAGAGAAAAGAAAGAAAGAGAGAGAGAGAGAGGGAGAGAGGGATAGAGAGAGAGAGAGAGGAAGGAGAGAAGAGAGAAGAGAGAAGAGAAAGAGAACCCTCATATGCTCGTAGGCTTTGGTTGATGAGCCAACGAGATTGAATGTTTCGTTGTTGATCTCGTTGGTCCACACCCGGAGAGACATCTGCACACGACCGAGATCCGGAAAGCTGCGTAGGGCACCAGGCTAGGGGATGAAACAAAACAGTAGAATCCTTATTTTGCCCGCCCCTACTTAATTAAGTAGGCACCTACTTAATTAAGTCTTCAGTGAACGCTCCCTTTGTCAACTGCTGCTTGGAAGGTTC